ATTTCATCCTCCTTCAACTCGTTCGCCGCCACCGCCAGCTTCTCTGCCCATGGCGAGCTCAAGCAGAGACAATGCGTCTCCCTCAAGACGAGGTTCGTTTGCTCCGGCCGACGACGAATCCGTCATTCCGGTATGAATCCCGAGTGGCTTCTTTTCTTTTTCCTATGTGTCTGCGATTTCTTTGACGTGTGGCTCTGACGTGTGGCACAGACGCGGCAGCTCGAGGCATTTGGACGTAAAGTAACTGCGACAGCCGGACATCTCATAGGGCCGCTAGGCGAGGCAGGAGTTAGCCAACACTACCAGAATGCTCTCGGAGAACTCCACAGGGAGTTGCGCAGACCGGCTATCCAACGATCCATATTCAGCTTCGCACAGAACAGCCCGAGAGAACTCGTACGCTCCAAGCTCTCCGTGGGCGAAATACAACACAGAGCACTCGCATACGTTCCAGATGAGCTATTATACAACATTCCGGAGAACAACAGCACGTACTCTTTGTTCCAGGGGTTTCAGGCTTCAATACCAGAAGAGGAGAAGGCAAGAAGAAAGAAGCACGGTCGACATGGCTCAAGAGGGCGGAAGCTGATAGATGAAGCGCCTGGGGGACCTCCCGCGCTAACGGAGCTGAAGAATGAGAAGTTTAGCTTGTCACACCGTCTGGACATGCTTGGGGTGCGGAAGAACATGTGCAGTACGGAAATACACGACATTGACGCCAAGATCTCCAATCTCAACAACATGCGGAAGATTGTCCTGGATCGGCTGGCGGACCTCGAGCAAGAAGAGATGGATATGGAGTCGGAGCTGTTGGGGGTTGACAACAAGCTGGAAGATCTCCAAGAACAACTCGAGGACCAAGCAGCACTCGAAGCGCGGGCTCCCGCTGAACCTGGAGCTCTCGAGGATGACGTAGAGTCTGGAGATTTCATGTCCGAGTCAATATATGAGAAACTACCTTCGCCAAAGTCCAAGCGTCCTCGGAGAGCGAACAGGCGCATTTCCATGCCGATTCTTCACGAGCATCTTGAAGCAGGGTCGAAGTTGAAAGAACTTCCAGCACACAATGACATGGTAACTGCCCTTGATTTTGATGCTCCATTCGGCACCCTGGTCACAGCAGCATTAGACGATACCGTAAGAGTATGGGACCTCAACGCCGGTCGATGTATGGGCCTACTCGAGGGTCACTTGTCATCTGTGCGCTGCTTGCAGGTTGAAGATAATATTGTCGCGACAGGATCGATGGATGCTTCAATTCGACTGTGGGATCTAAGTCGAGCGGAATATGCCCCCGCGGATAACAGAATCAACAAGAGCGACGAAGAGGACGATGGTCTAGGTTTCGAAAATCCTGAAGATGCTGGACCAGCTCCGCCTCCCACGAGTATGCAAGACTGTCCTATGTTTTCGCTCGAGGCACACGTCGCGGAGATTACTGCGCTGCATTTCAGGGGAGATACCCTCGTGTCTGGTTCTGCTGACAAAACACTTCGTCAGTGGGATCTGGAAAAAGGGCGTTGTGTTCAAACCTTGGATGTGCTCTGGGCAGCCGCGCAAGCTACCTCAACAATGGGTTCTGGCAACAATCAGTGGAAAACTCCTGGCCGGCTACCGGATGCGACGGCGGATTTCGTGGGCGCTTTGCAATTTTTTGACGCAGCACTTGCATGTGGAACTGCGGATGGCATGGTAAGATTATGGGATTTGCGAAGCGGTCAGGTTCATCGGAGTCTTGTTGGCCATACTGGACCCGTCACAGCCCTGCAGTTTGACGATGTGCACCTGGTAACTGGTAGTTTGGATCGAAGTATTCGGGTAAGTCGCGCCGGATGATCGAGAGGTCGGTCTTATTTCTAACTTGGACAGATCTGGGACCTCCGAACCGGCTCCATTCATGATGCCTTTGCGTATGATCATCCAATCACCAGCATGATGTTCGATTCGCGCAAGATCGTCGCCGCTGCAGGCGAGGACGTTGTAAAGGTGCATGACAAGACCGATGGCAGGCATTGGAATTGTGGACCTGGTACCCAAGATGACTACGAGACTGGTGCTTCAGCGACCATCGAGCAGGTCAGAATCAAGGACGGGTACTTGGTTGAGGGCAGGAAAGACGGTGTTGTTGGCATTTGGTCGTGCTGATGAGCAAAAGGTACATAGCTCAGTAGGCTTGGTTAGTAGGATGGTGTATGAATAGGTGAACATACTGCTATGAATCCATACTTGGCGCTAGAGAAGTACGCAGTGAACGCAGTGGGAGCGCCGCATCACGTGTGACCGACAACCACATCGGCAATTCTGCATGCGCGAAATGCTTGTCTGTGGAAAAATAAAGCTTGTCCTGCAAGAGCCGCATCTTCGCTGCCGATGAGAGGAGATCAGCGGCGTCTAGAGGTCAACACTTGCATTAGATGAGATCCTTGCCGGACTCGCCGTGCCGAGCTATCCTGTCTCTCGTCTTTAAGAGGCGTCATTTTCAGCAACTGAATTGCTGTTCAAGAATAGGTAAAGGGCCAAAGCGGCATGTTCAAAAGAAATTAGAGGTACCGATCCCGTACAGCATCCAGGACAAGTGTCGCAAGTTTCAAATACACCACTTTGGACCCCACGCAGGGCTTCTCCAACCACAAGGTCGCGCAACTACATCCATGCATACTCCTCAATCTAACTCGTCGATCAGCTACTTTCCCGCATTCCGGCCCGGATGGTTCGAGTCTCGATTTTGAGAGAGGGGAAGGGGAGGAGATAAGGAGAATGAGAAGCGCACTATGTGAGAGCCAGGATGTTTCAGGATGTTATCTTTGTTTTATGCGAAAGGTCGACCTTCGTCTGTCTCCTCTCCACGAAGATGTGAACGTTGACCAGTGTAGATTCTCGAGTCGTAGCTAGGTCAAATTTTGACGTGGTTTGTTTGACGATGTCTCAAATGGCTGCAGTAGTGGACTTGTCTGGTACTTGGCTGCCGGCTTACGTGCCAAAGTCATCGCTCACGATATCTGTGCTGTTGGTGTTTAGCTCGGTCATCACTTCTACTGTAAGTGTCGTTTGGTGTCAACGGAGCATTAATACTGATGCCTCGCAGACTTATGGCTATGATGGATCCATGGTGTAAGAAGAACCGATTGTTTTCGCGTGGACGCGTTCCCTGACAGCTCCAGGAACGGATTGAATATCCTACCATCTTACAGCGACTATTTCGGCTTGAATGATGCTACTACCTCTCTCCAAACAGCATCAATCTTCATCGGAGGCTGTTTGGCCGGTCTGACTTATGGCAAGGTTACTGATATCCTCGGGCGCCGCCCGGCTCTTCTCATCGCAGCAGTGATCACCGTCATTGCAGTGATTATCCAGACAGCCGCGCAGAACATTGCCATGTTCGTGGTCGGCCGCATCTTGATAGGCTTTGGGACTGGAGCTTCCGGCCTGGCAGGGCCAGCGTACCTCGCAGAGACACTGCCCTTCCACTGGCGAGGCTGGGGGTTGGGTTTCTTCAACGATTGCTACTATGTCGGAGGACTCATTGCCGCTGGAGTGACATATGGCACGCAGAACATGACCTCCACTTGGGCTTGGAGGACCCCATCTGCGATCCAGGGGCTGTTTAGTCTTGTCTGCATCGTGATTCTACCATTTGTGCCGGAGAGCCCCCGATGGCTAGTTTATCGAGGCAGGAAAGAGGAGGCCATGGCTGTTGTCGCTCATACGTACGCCGACGGCGACTACAACAGTCCGATCGTGTTGACCGCGTTCAGGGAAATTGTGGATACCATTGAGTTTGAGAAGAATGTTGGAGAGACACTCTCTTTGAAGCAACTCTTCAAGACTCCTGCGGCCAGGAAGAGGGTTACCTTGGCCGCATCCGCTGCTGTGTTCAGTACGATTGCAGGTGGGTATCAATCTCGAATGTGGAGAAAACAGCTGATGAAGCAGGAAATGTAATTGCGTCTTATTACCTTGGTAGTATGCTCGACAATGCGGGAATCACAAACACGACGACGCAACTGCAGATTGTGAGTTTCCTGACCGGTTTGGACGATGAAACAACTCATTCTCTAGAACATCATCCTCAATGCCTGGTGTCTCGTATGCTCAATCAGCGGGACATACCTCATCGACGTCTGGGGTCGAAAGCCAACTGCATTGATCAGTACGGGAGCATTGACAGTCTTCATCTTCATCGTAGGAGCTCTCACGAAAGGTATGACCCTTTGGGAGCGCTTGTCCAAGCGTTGGTGTGTCTGACGGGATCCTTCCAGTATACGGCACTTCGAACAATCAGTCCGGCGTTTACGGCACCGTCGCAGCAATCTTCCTCTTCATGGGCTCCTACAGCTTCGGGTGGACACCGCTCCTCTACCTCTACCCGCCAGAGGTCCTCAACTATCCCATCCGAGCAAACGGCATGGGCGTCTTCCAATTCGCACTGAACGGGACTGGGTAAGCTTTCCGACTCCTTCGATTGACAAGTCTGACCTCGCAGTCTTCTCATCGTCTTCACGATGAACATCGCACTCGAGAACATCGGCTGGAAAATGTACATGATCAACGGCGCGTGGGACGTCGTCATGTTCGCCCTCATCGCGTACTACTGGGTTGAGACGCATGGGAGGACGCTGGAGGAGCTCGACGAGGTGATTGACGGCGCGAAGCACAGCGATGCACCTCATCTGGAGGCCGTGTACCAAGGGAATGCAGAGTTGGTGGTCGTGAATGAGAGCAAAGGCGTCAAATAATGAAGGTCGCGTTTTGAAGTTCGCGTTCCACGCTTTGAAGCTTGCGGTTCCACGTGTTGAAGTTTGCGGTTCCGCGTTTTGAAGCTCGTGTTCCCACCTGCACGCTTTGATGTTCCTCGCGATGCTGCCCCTGCAACTCCGCCAAGACTCGGTCCACAATCCACACAACTCCACCAAATCCTTCGCAATCAACGCCAAACCTTCAGGAACGCTTCGAGAAGACATTTAGAGTCATGATATATGCAAAAAAAGTGGAAAAAAAGGTCGTGCCCGGGTTTGAACCGGGGTTACCAGAATTCGAGTCAAAGATGATCAAAACCTGGAGTGATGACCACTACACTACACAACCTATGACTTGGAAGGGCATGTGGACTTACGCAACATATATTTCGCACAGCAAGCTGACCCCAGTGTGGAAAGCGGCCACTATCGGCTCCCTGCGGCTGCCCTCGGGAGAGTCCGAGATCGGAGCAGTTTGGCAACGTCAAACGTCCAGGGAATGACGATTTCGATGAGGACACTTGAAACGGGAAACGGTCTTTGATTTCTTGCTCCCAGTAGCCAGGCCGCAGACAGTCAGCACGGACACGACGTTGGGACGATTCCAGTGTACTGCAAGTGATTCCATTCCACGTACTCGTACACTGAATGCATCCCGCAAAACTCGACGCCATATTAATGCTCAAAAAGACCTTGCCCTGGGGTATCATACAACTGGTTCCTCAACTCCGACTTTTCCCTGGGGTACCATAACGTAGCTCCTCAACTCCTCGTAATGCTTTCCGCCGCAATGCAGCCCCTCGATTTTCCATCTGGCCAACGACCACCTTCAAATCCTTTGTCGGGGCGGACCAGTCAATCGGTTTCAGCTGTTCATTCTCCGTCACCATGAAGAGCGCTTCCGCCGCGGCGACTCGAATCTGCCACTCGTTAGTATGAAGCTTCGTAATGAATGAGTGCAGTGGTCATACCTTTGGATATTGATGCAACAGCATGGTCTGAAGCTTCTTGATCGCCGCTGCCCGCTCGGATGGAACATCTGCGAGTCCTCGGTACACGTCGATCGCGGTGGCGATCTTCTGCAGGTTGGAAGACTTGTAGTGCGACTTTTGGACGAGGGAATGCAAGTTGCGCCAACTAGATAGCAACGTTGGTAATCGAAATGAGGAGGAGAAAACAAATAGAACGATACCTGAAAGCCTTTCCCATCTTCTGCAGGATCTGCATGTCCAGCAGAAACGCGAGCACTTCCAAAACGGGCACTAGTTTTCGGTCGGGGTGGAAGCGTACGCACTCGTCGAGGTGACCGACAAAGCTCTGGCCAAAGTCGACCAGACTGCCGCGGCCATCAACAGCCAGCTCTTCCAGTGCATCGACAAGAGCCTTCCTCGACGCCTGGACGGTCGTCTCCGTTCCCATGGCAGCAGCACTGTAGTAGCCCTCCAAGATGACTTCCTTTAGCCAGTACACAGTACCATACTCGAAAGCGAACGCTAGAGCCGAGCGGAAGTATTCGTAGGAGGACACCACGTGTTGCAGCGTGTCAAATCTGCTTAGAGTGTTATTATCTGAAAAGAGTCGAGGGGCAAAGGACGCTAACACTTTATACTCATTGTTGGATTTGTCTGCCAGGCAACGCGACGCTGCGATCCGGACCTTGTCCAACTTTTCAAGCGCCAGTCTTGCAATGGCTTGGTGGATGGTGCGGTTGTAAACGGCCCATTTCTCATGTGGGTTTTCTTTCGACTTCGACGAGCTTGCCGTTTCGATAGCAGCGAGTCGGACAAGGGACCCAACATCGCCTCGCTCGTTGACTGTATAATCATCAAGCCCAGTTAGAAGAGCCCTTCGAATCGTGGGAACGACTTCTTGCTGCATGCTTTCAATGTCTGCATACCGATCGGAATGGCGCAAGACAAGTGAGAGACTTTGCAAAGCCACCACCCTTGAATCGATCTCGTATGTGGGGTAGCATCGAATGCAGAGCTCCTTTACGATCGTTTCGAACACGTCAAAGGTGACCACAGGGGTGACGGCGCCAAGGGCGAGGAGGCCTCCATATGGTGACCTGCCCGAACCAGCATCTGCTTGAACAAGATTGATCCAGTGCTGAACGCAATTCTGCCGAAACTGACGTGGTACAAATTCGATGAAGCGATATGCGGCTTCTGGAATCGCTTGGAGGATTTCCTTCTCTTGTCGGGGCAGGCAAAGATCGAGGTCACCCCACGCCCTCTGCATGCCGGTGCTAATCTCATTCAGTGCTGGAGCCTTGAACTGTATACCATCTGGCATTTCCACCTTGGAAAGAGCGGAAACAAGCGACATGATTGCTGCCGCTGTAAGTTCCGGTTTTCTCGTGGACCACAGGAGATCGTTTGGCGATATGTCGACTTCCTGTCCAAAGACATTCCAGTAGCCATACATGAATTGGAAAGGGACAACAAGGCATTCCTCTGAGGATCCGCTGGGAATCGAAATGTGCTTGTCTCCACACATTGCGGCAAGTTTCTTGCATTCGATAATGCACTCCGCAAGGGCCAACATCAAGCCATGCCGCTCTTCAATCGAGTTCTTCTCTTTGAGACTCAGCAAAAGGTCTGAAACCATCGCATGCATTGTCAAGAAGGACCTGAGAGATCCCAGAGAAGCGAAAGCCTTGGAAGCGGAGATTCTTGAGCTTGTCTCTGCGGCAGCAATGCCACGCCAGCCGAGAAGGGCACTTGCCAGACCATCCCAGTACATCGAGTCCAGCTTGGCCGCGGCAAGGCTGACATCAGTCATGGCTCGACTGCGGAGACCGACACCTTGGAAATCGACGGTTTGAACGAGAGTGATGCCTTCAGCGACAGTATCTGGGTGTCGACCGATAAGCTCTTGCAATGCCCCTGACGAGCCTCGGCGAATATTCCCGACGGGATCGCAACAGGCGGCAGCCACGAGCTCGATGGCAAGTACCTGGGGGATTGAGAGCAGTTTCTGGGCCGGGTTTGTTGCTCGAATGGTGGATGTGTCAACTACCAAGAGCTCCGCAGATGTGTATCGCCTCGACAAAGCCCAGATGCCATAGTTGGCAGCATCCCGTACATTGGAGCCCACAGAACTGCCAGTGGAAGATCGCTGCTCAAATGTGAGCGCAAGAATCAGCGCATTCACAATGTCTGGTATCTGCTCTGGCTTTGGCGCTCGCTTGTGCAGCAGTTGCGCTAGCGTGAGCGTCAATCCATGCCATCGGAGAGGATCCACTGCCGCCAGGTTCCTCTTGGGACCTTCCCACAGGACGTCTTCGCTCAGGGTATCTAGAATGGCTTGAATAACTTCGGTCGCCATCTGGGCATCCTCTGTGCCCAGGTGGAGGGTGATGGCACCCAGTGCCTTGCTTGCAGCGTTGCGAACCGGAGTGTCGCTATCGGCAAGAGCCTCCAGAAGATGCTGGATGACTTCCTCCATGATGGTTGTGGCGTCTGGCGCATCTTCTGCCATGGCTGCTCGGCGGGACAGAAGGACTATGCTTCGGAAAGTCTTGATCAATGAGCTCCTTGCCACGGCAGACGACCTCAAGAACTCCAGGCGGCTGTCCCCGATGATGCTTTGGCATGTCTTGTATATGCTGGGAATGAGAGTGTCATTCTCGCCCTTGCTGGCTGATTTTGCGAGCTTGCTGAGAAAACACAAGATACCCAGGCTCTGGTGGATGTTTGAGAGTCCACCAGACAGGATGGCGAAATAGGTAGCAGCCCACTGGACTAACGCATTCGGTACGCCGAGCTTCCGCATATCTGGCCGGAGGGCAAGCCGCGCAAGAAGCTTCGCTGCGGCATCCCGCTCCTTGGTTGCAGTCTGCATGTACTTCATGCATTGTGTTACCGCCCGCAGAGATACTTGGGGGAGTCCAGCTGGGAGATGGAGCCCATGGGAGGACGGCAAGGGCAGGGAAGGGTCTTGTGACGAGATTGAGGAGAGGTCAAACGGCGCCAGCATCAGGTGGGAAAGCCATAGGAGGAGAATGTATCTTTCCTCCCATGGCATTTCACCACCATCTGGTCGGGGGTTTGTGCCTTCCTCGAAGGCGGAGAGCAGGGGCTCGAGCCATCGGGGCTCGTTGTTGAAGAAGCCTACGATGACCCTCTCTCCACGGGCCTTGCAGAGGACGTAGAGAACGCGGGAGATGGCTGCGGCGGAGGAGACGAAACCAGGCTTTTGCTTGCGATTCTTGTTCAGCACAACAAGAAACGCGCTGACCAGCTCTGGGACCACGTCCCTCAGAGTGGTATCGAGAAGCTGTGGCTCTTCTTGGAACCGCTCGATCTATGATTGCATTAGCGCTTGAATGTCAATTGATGTCAGAGAAGAAGCGCAGACTTACACTTGCGGTCATTCGCGACAGATCGCGCGCGTCCACTCGGCTTTGGTGACGGCGCGTGCCGTCGCGGTCACGTGCTTGCTGGCTCCAGAGGATCTTTTCCAGGTGCTCGCGAAGGTCGGCGAGGAGGGCGGGAAAAGCACGCAGGAACAACGCATCCGTGTCGCCGGCATCCATTTTGGCAATGGATGTGGTGTTGTTGACAGGAAGAGGGAGAGGTGGTGTTGATGCTGCGACTTTCTGTTTGCCTTGAGCATGACGCTAGTGCGAGGCTCTGATTGGCCGACACTTGGCGGAATGCCAAGCCTTGTCGAAGCCGAGGAAGACGGAGCGGGATAACCTTACTCCACTCCGCTTCCGAACTGTCGGAGTCTACTGTGATGGGGTGATAGTTGCCAAGCTCCGAGGATACTGCGTGATCACGTTGGGAGTGCAATAACGCAGTGGAAAAAGTGAGATTTTTGAGACAGCAAAGATGTGAAGATTGTGATGTGTGTGTTGAATTGTGTCATGTAATTGTCTAGGAGTGCCAAATGCCGGAGATGGAATATATGCTCCAGATCACATGATGTCTGACTATGCACTCACGTGACTAGTCTCCGACACGAACCCTCAGGAGTCAGCCCTCAACAAAGTCTCCTTTCCTCCCATCCGTCGAATTACCGCACCGCCAGCGTTTTTACACCATATGCGGCAATTTCAGGTTCGCAGCAACTATAAAGGGAGGTCGGGGGGAACCGCGACCAAATTCAAAGCGAGGAAGAGCTTAATCAGCAGGGTGCAGGGAAAAACTCCACCAAAAACGTTAGCTGACCTCCCTCATACCGGGACTCCAAGTAGGCAAAGCGAGCCTAAAGAGCCCGCTAGCTGCAGAGTCCCTACGGTTAAGTCACGTAAGATATTAATCGTATTATGTTCATCATTTATTATTAGCTATCTACGCTTTTGTAGAGCTCTTTTGAACTCTTTGAACAGCTACCTTTTAG